CTACATTTTTTATTTATTTAATAATGTTACATGATTTTTTGTAGGCATTTTAAGACGTTTTTGTACTGCGACATGTTCTTGTGGATCCGGGTTGAGATCCGGCTCCAGGAATCATAGGATTTGTAATTGTAAGAAGACTGAAAACATCTCCAGGAACCTGTTTTTTTTACACAGGAGGGTACAGGAGCAGACGATTGCTGGCTCCTGTTAGCAGGCTGAGAGCTTTCCCTTCCCATAGCTCATGGTAAGCCTTACCCTACTAGTTTTACACACAGGAGGGTACAGGAGCAGACGACTGCTGGCTCCTGTTAGCAGGCTGAGAGCTTTCCCTTCCCATAGCTCATGGTAAGCCTTACCCTACTAGTTTTACACACAGGATGGTACAGGAGCAGACGACTGCTGGCTCCTGTTAGCAGGCTGAGAGCTTTCCCTTCCCATAGCTCATGGTAAGCCTTACCCTACTAGTTTTACACACAGGTGGGTACAGGAGCAGACGACTGCTGACTCCTGTTAGCAGGCTGAGAGCTTTCCCTTCCCATAGCTCATGGTAAGCCTTACCCTACTAGTTTTACACACAGGAGGGTACAGGAGCAGACGACTGCTGACTCCTGTTAGCAGGCTGAGAGCTTTCCCTTCCCATAGCTCATGGTAAGCCTTACCCTACTAGTTTTACACACAGGAGGGTACAGGAGCAGACGACTGCTGACTCCTGTTAGCAGGCTGAGAGCTTTCCCTTCCCATAGCTCATGGTAAGCCTTACCCTACTAGTTTTACACACAGGAGGGTACAGGAGCAGACGACTGCTGACTCCTGTTAGCAGGCTGAGAGCTTTCCCTTCCCATAGCTCATGGTAAGCCTTACCCTACTAGTTTTACACACAGGAGGGTACAGGAGCAGACGACTGCTGACTCCTGTTAGCAGGCTGAGAGCTTTCCCTTCCCATAGCTCATGGTAAGCCTTACCCTACTAGTTTTACACACAGGTGGGTACAGGAGCAGACGACTGCTGACTCCTGTTAGCTGGCTGAGAGCTTTCCCTTCCCATAGCTCATGGTAAACCTTACCCTACTAGTTTTACACACAGGTGGGTACAGGAGCAGACGACTGCTGGCTCCTGTTAGCAGGCTGAGAGCTTTCCCTTCCCATAGCTCATGGTAAGCCTTACCCTACTAGTTTTACACACAGGATGGTACAGGAGCAGACGACTGCTGGCTCCTGTTAGCAGGCTGAGAGCTTTCCCTTCCCATAGCTCATGGTAAGCCTTACCCTACTAGTTTTACACACAGGATGGTACAGGAGCAGACGACTGCTGGCTCCTGTTAGCAGGCTGAGAGCTTTCCCTTCCCATAGCTCATGGTAAGCCTTACCCTACTAGTTTTACACACAGGATGGTACAGGAGCAGACGACTGCTGACTCCTGTTAGCAGGCTGAGAGCTTTCCCTTCCCATAGCTCATGGTAAGCCTTACCCTACTAGTTTTACACACAGGATGGTACAGGAGCAGACGACTGCTGACTCCTGTTAGCAGGCTGAGAGCTTTCCCTTCCCATAGCTCATGGTAAGCCTTACCCTACTAGTTTTACACACAGGATGGTACAGGAGCAGACGACTGCTGACTCCTGTTAGCAGGCTGAGAGCTTTCCCTTCCCATAGCTCATGGTAAGCCTTACCCTACTAGTTTTACACACAGGAGGGTACAGGAGCAGACGACTGCTGACTCCTGTTAGCAGGCTGAGAGCTTTCCCTTCCCATAGCTCATGGTAAGCCTTACCCTACTAGTTTTACACACAGGAGGGTACAGGAGCAGACGACTGCTGACTCCTGTTAGCAGGCTGAGAGCTTTCCCTTCCCATAGCTCATGGTAAGCCTTACCCTACTAGTTTTACACACAGGTGGGTACAGGAGCAGACGACTGCTGACTCCTGTTAGCTGGCTGAGAGCTTTCCCTTCCCATAGCTCATGGTAAACCTTACCCTACTAGTTTTACACACAGGTGGGTACAGGAGCAGACGACTGCTGGCTCCTGTTAGCAGGCTGAGAGCTTTCCCTTCCCATAGCTCATGGTAAGCCTTACCCTACTAGTTTTACACACAGGAGGGTACAGGAGCAGACGACTGCTGACTCCTGTTAGCTGGCTGAGAGCTTTCCCTTCCCATAGCTCATGGTAAACCTTATCCTACTAAGGCTTAATAAACACAAGGTAATTGTGTTTGTGATGTCGTGTACCTTGCCTTTAGCAAAGCTTTGGATACAGTGCCACATGAAAGACTGATTAAATAGATGAAGGCTCATGGTGACCAGACCACACACTAAAAGTTGAAGGGACGACGACGTTTCGGTCCGTCCTGGACCATTCTCAAGTCGATTGTGATGAGGAGGTAGGGTCAGGCAATAAATAAGCAAGAGAGAGCTGAGGAGGAAAGTAAGGTGTAGGGGATAGTAGTAATGAGAACTGCAGAAGGCCTATTGGCCCATACGAGGCAGCTCCTATTATAACCACCGAAGGAGATAGTAATAGGAATAAGAAGAGGATAGCAAGGGAGCGTTGGAGAAGACAATGAACAGAAAAAAGGGAGAAGAGAGAAAGAAAAGGAAAGAGAAAGAAAGATAAATGGAAGGGGAAAGCTTATGTTAAGTCACGTTTGTTAGAAAGATTAGAGCATTTGAGTATATACTGTGAAAGGGAAGAGTCCACAGCAACAAAGCCAGGACTCAAGTTCATGTTGGGTACATTGTGTATCAGAGCCGATTCTACAAGACGGCGTCTGTGTAGAGTTGAGAATGGTCCAGGACGGACCGGAGAATGATCGACTTGAGAATGATCGACGGACGGAGAATGATCGACTTGAGAATGGTCCAGGACGGACCGAAACGTCGTCCCTTCAACTTCTAGTGTGTGGTCTGGTCAACATACTTCAGCCACGTTATTGTGACTCATCGCCTGCAGGCTCATGGTATTGGGGGTGCTATATTAAGTTGAATTAGGGCATGGCTATACCAAAGGAAACAAAGAGTTAGTATAAAGGGAGTTAAGTCAGAGTGGGAAAATGTTGTAAGTGGAGTGCCTCAAGGCTCTGTCCTGGGACCTCTGTTATTCACAATATATATATATGATTTAGATTCAGGTTTGAGTAGCAACATTTGTAAATTTGCCGATGATACAAAACTCGGGAGGGAAATAAACACAGAAGATACTCACTATCACTTCAAGTTGATCTAAATAGGGTTTTGAAATTGTCAAAAGATTGGCAGATGAATATTAATGCTGACAAATGTAAGCCTTTGCGGCTAAGTAATGATGATATAGTTACAAGATACGAGCTAGATGGTGTTGAGATTGCACAGTCTGAGTGTGAAAGGGATCTGGGAGTTTAGTTTGGTAAGAATTTAAAACCAAAAAATCAATGCATAAATGTTCGTAATAAGGCAAATAGGACACTAGGATTTATTAATCGAAGAGTTACTAATAAGACGCCTGATGTGGTTCTTCAGGTATATCTTTCTCTGGTTAGGCCCCATTTGGATTATGCAGTTCAGTTTTGGTCGCCGTACTATAGAATGGATATAAATTCACTAGAATGTGTCCAGCGTAGTATGACAAAGTTAATCCCTCAAATTAGAAACCTGTCATATGAAGAAAGATTAACAAAGCTTAAATTACATTCTCTAGAAAGGCGAAGAATTAGGGGTGACATGATAGAGGTTTACAAGTGGATGAATGGGCATATCAAAGGAGGTATTAAAAGTGGTATTAAAAGTATCAACACAAGACAGAACACGAAACAATGGGGATAAATTGGATAAGTTTAGATTTAAGAATGACCTGAGGTAAATACTGGTTCGGTATCGTGGTTGTTGATTGTGGAACCAATTACCGCGTAACATGATGGAGGTGGGGTCCTTAATTGTTTCAAACATGGGTTGGACATGTATATGAGTGGGATTGGGTTATCTTGAGATGATTTCGGGGCTTTTTAGTGTCCCCGCGGCCCGGTCCTCGACCAGGCCTCCACCCCCAGGAAGCAGCCCGTGATAGCTGACTAACACCCAGGTACCTATTTTACTGCTAGGTAACAGCGGCATAGGGTGAAAGAAACTCTGCCCGTTGTTTCTCGCCGGCGCCTGGGATCGAACCCAGGACCACAGGATCACAAGACCAGCGTGCTGTCCGCTCGGCCGACCGGCTCCCTAGGGTGGTAATAAATAGGAGCTGCCTAGTATGGGCCAATAGGCCTTCTGCAGTTTTGTTTATTATTATGTTCTATACCCTACAAGGAAAATATTGTAATCAAAATAGAGAAAGGGGATTAACGCAGAACTTAATTTTCCCTTAAAAATGTTTTTAGATGAAACTAAGAAAGCGAGTTTATTTATTTTTTTTTTTTTTTTTTTTTTTTTGATATATACAAGAGTTGTTACATTCTTGTACAGCCACTAGTACGCGTAGCGTTTCGGGCAAGTCCTTAATCCTATGGTCCCTGGAATACGATCCCCTGCCGCGAAGAATCGTTTTTTCATCCAAGTACACATTTTACTGTTGCGTTAAACAGAGGCTACAGTTAAGGAATTGCGCCCAGTAAATCCTCCCCGGCCAGGATACGAACCCATGACATAGCGCTCGCGGAACGCCAGGCGAGTGTCTTACCACTACACCACGGAGACTGTAAACCACTATTCTTAGTTAATAAAACTGGCTTGTTAAGTAGACAGACCTTTTAAAAGCACGACTTTGTGGGAAAATTCCTTTAAGTAGAAGGGGCTCCTTGATGGTGGTGAGAAAATGGTACCCAAGAGGCGGGGCCCAAGAGCCAAAACTCGCAGTATTAAGGCATGTAAGTAATCCCTCCCCCCCCCCCTCCTCCCACACACACACACACAGAAGATTCATTTAAGGCCTCTCTACAACGCTTCAGTGAGTTTGTGTGCTCGTTATAAACAGTTGGTCGGACACTATGGCCATCTGTATGGTCAGGATTATCATTATTTTCACTCCAGAGCACTCTAAACAGCGATAGGCGCACTGGCGCTAAATATTTGGTTAACTCGAGTGGTTTTCCAGGGAAGAGACCGAGTGCCTGGTTCAGGTAAACAAGCTTCAACAGGCATGCCAACTTTGCTTTGAGCAGGCGTGCCAACTTTGCTTTGAGCAGGTGTGACAACTTTGCTTTGAGCAGGTGTGACAACTTTGCTTTGAGCAGGCATGCCAATCTTGCTTTCAGCAGGTGTGACAACTTTGCTTTGAGCAGATATGCCAACCTTGCCTTGAGCTGGCATGCCAACCTTGCCTTGAGCAGGCATACCAATCTTGCTTTGAGCAGGTGTGACAACTTTGCTTTGAGCAGGTGTGACAACTTTGCTTTGAGCAGGTGTGACAACTTTGCTTTGAGCAGGTGTGACAACTTTGCTTTGAACAGGCATGCCAACCTTGCTTTCAGTAGGTGTGACAACCTTGCTTTGAGCAGGCATGCCAACCTTGCCTTGAGCTGGCATACCAACCTTGCCTTGAGCAGGCATGCCAACCTTGCTTTCAGCAGGTGTGACAACTTTGCTTTGAGCAGGTGTCCCAACCTTGCCTTGAGCAGGCATGCCAACCTTGCCTTCAACAGGTGTGCCAACCTTACCTTGAACAGGCACGCCAACCTCTCTTTGCAGTGGCAACTTCATCACCTCCCTCTTAGCAGGTCTTCCAATATTATTGAAATGGCTTGAGCAAGCGTACCAACCTTACATGTGCAGCTTTAACAGGCGTACCAACCTTACATGTGCAGCTTTAACAGGCGTACCAACCTTACATGTGCAGCTTTAACAGGCGTACCAACCTTACATGTGCAGCTTTAACAGGCGTACCAACCTTACATGTGCAGCTTTAACAGGCGTACCAACCTTACATGTGCAGCTTTAACAGGCGTACCAACCTTACATGTGCAGCTTTAACAGGCGTACCAACCTTACATGTGCAGCTTTAACAGGCGTACCAACCTTACATGTGCAGCTTTAACAGGCGTACCAACCTTACATGTGCAGCTTTAACAGGCGTACCACCCAAAATAGCACTAATTCAGTCATATTAATCATAACTCTACCAACATTTATAAGAATACCCACATTAGAAATACCGACTATGAGTTTAATGAAACAGGAATGGCAACTAAATCTCTCTCTCTCTCTCTCTCTCTCTCTCTCTCTCTCTCTCTCTCTCTCTCTCTCTCTCTCTCTCTCTCTCTCTCTCTCTCTCTCTCTCTCTCTCTCTCCAAAATCCCTTACCCCTTTATGTCACTGACAAAAAACTATTTCTGATTGTCAAAATTTGGCAAAAAATTCACACTCTTTTGGGCAGAATCGTAAAAACAGGACGAAGTTGGGGAGTTTTGGTGTGTGGGAGTATTTACGAGGACGGGGCCGCTATTGTTGTCAACACAGTTCACTGGAACTAGTTGTGGGGTGACACCTGTCATGATGGAGAGAGTGGTTGGTCAAGGGGGAGAGGTGGGGGAGAGGGAGCGAGAAGTGAGGGAGAGTGGTTGGGGAGGTACTCGCCTTGTTGTGCTTGCGGGTGTTGAGCTACGGCTTTTTGGTCCCGCCTCTCATCTGTCAATAAACTGGTGTACAGATTCCTGAGCCTACTGGGCTCTATAATATCTACATTTGAAACTGTGTTTCAAGGGATTGCGATCCTGGACAAGCTTGCATGCATGGGTGTCAAGGGGAGACTCATGAAATGGACTGAAGACAGGGAGGATAGCCAATGTTTGCTTCAATGGAGCAATTTCGAAAACAATGAATATGGAACTCGGGACCCCCCAAGGCGGAGTCTTAAGCCCCACACTATTCAATGTACTTATGAACGCCATTGCAAATATTGATTTTTCCGGAAGGGACGCAACAAGTGGGATATGCAGATGATGTCCTAATACAAGCTCCCACCTTGGGAAAATTGAACAGTCCATTGAACTCCTTGGAAGGAAATGTGTTGAGCTCGGTTTCCCTCTCTCCACCAACAAGACAAGAGCAAACTCCCATCACAAGCGGGGAGAAAATGAAGAACTACAAATTAATGGTGTAACACTTGAATGGGTTGACCACTATCGGTACCTTGGCGTCACTGTCGGCTCTAACAAGGGGAAGAAAGAGGAGCTCAATCAACTCATAGGAACATGCAAAAGTCGACTCAGGGAACTGAAAGCCATGACCTGGAATGGACATGGAACCTCTATTGTCGTGAATGATGTACACAGCCTATGTGCGCTCCGTCATAGACTATGCCGCACCAGTTTTGTGCACCTACTTCCAAAGCGATATGAAAAGGCTTGAAAGCATTCAGAATGAAGCCATTACAGTCATTCTTGGAGTCCCAAGAACTGCCAAAACGTCTAATCTACGAGAGGAGTTGTCCCGCCCCAGTGTTAAAAGCAGAATTAAGGAGCTGAATGCTAAGCTTGCAATTAATCTGGCCAGAGATCCCCATTACAATGGTATTACTAAGAAAAAACTGAGTTCTATGCTACTTTCAGGGGGAAAAAGAAGAAGCACCAAATGGCATCACAGAGCAGTCTGCTACCTGGAAGAGCTTCACCTGCTTGAGCAAGCCCGTGAGCTCCTGCCTGTAGAGAGGTTACCTCCCTGGGAGGATGACTCATGCAAGATCATCATCAATGAAATGGCAATGAAAAAATCCAACATGATACCACAAGAAATGAGGCACAAGTATCTCGAGGAAATTTATAAAGAAGCCGGAGATGAACTAGATCAAATCTACACTGACGGGTCATCTAATCCTGTCAATGGCAGGGCTGGTGCAGCAAACACTGTAATTAGGACTAATGCCTTCCAACGCAGAAATGAAGAAAAAGCGCATATTGAGAACTATGCCACTTCAACGCAAGCAGAGCTAACTGCCATTGTTATGGCGTTAAGATTAGTTGAAGGAAACACTAATGACCCAGTGATTTGCACTGATTCAAAAGCAGCACTGCAAAGTCTAAGTAAAAATCGGGCAGAAAATCTTGCGATAGTCGCTGAGATCAAGAGAGCTGTGATGGTACTGACCAATCAGGGAAGAGTCGTCAAGTTTCTGTGGATCCCCTCCCATGTTGGAATATGTGGAAATGAACGAGCAGATGTGCTGGCTGCTGAAGGCGCTGGAGGAGACCATACTTCATACTTCATACCCAAGACTACTACATATTAGAGGTATTATCAGGCAACATCACCGTGACAAGGTAACTGAGGAAAGGAGGTTATCTTGAGATGATTTCGGGGCTTTTTTTAGTGTCCCCGCGGCCCGGTCCTCGACCAGGCCTCCACCCCCAGGAAGCAGCCCGTGACAGCTGACTAACACCCAGGTACCTATTTTACTGCTAGGTAACAGTGGCATAGGGTGAAAGAAACTCTGCCCATTGTTTCTCGCCGGCGCCTGGGATCGAACCCAGGACCACAGAATCACAAGTCCAGTGTGCTGTCCGCTCGGCCGACCGGCTCCCTTAAAGGAGGATAGAAGAACAAACCAGTGAATCTGTACGATGGTACAACATGGTTGCAGCTGGCAATCCCAATCATTATGGACGAGGAAGAGGTGGCCGCGGGAGAGAATCAGTAATAGCAAGAATCCGTCTTGGATACAAATATCCATGGAGATTCTGAATGGAAACAATAGTTATAGAATAGACCTGGTTCTGTTTTGCATTTGTCTGCAATCCCTTTTTCAAAATTTCTTTCTGCCTCTCTCCTCACTGCCGTGTAGTTGTTTCTCGCATCTTTGTATCGCTGGTATGTTTGGGGGGTTTGGCCTCTTCCTGTATTGATTCCATTTTTGTGTCTTTTGGTCTCTGGCCCTCTCGCACTTTTTATTGAACCAATCCTGTTTCCTAGTTCTGCATCTCTGTTTTGGTATAAATTATTTTGTGCCTTTATCATATATTTCACAAAACTTGACATACATCTCATTCACTCCTTTGCCTAACAACAAGTCTGTCCAATTATACTCATTAAAAAAATTTCCAAGGTTGCCATAATGTCCTCTCCTGAAGTCAGTTTTTTTCAATTGCATCAACCTTCATATTTTCTTCCAGATTATAACGCATTGCATACTTTATTCCCAAAATAAAGTGTGTGTGTGTGTACTCACCTAATTGTACTCACCTAATTGTGTTTGCGGGGGTTAATTTCTGGCTCATTGGTCCCGCCTCTCAACCGTCAATCAACTGGTGTACAGGTTCCTGAGCCTATTGGACTCTATCATATCTACACTTGAAACTGTGTATGGAGTCAGCCTCCACCACATCACTTCCTAATGCATTCCATTTGTCGACCACTCTGACACTAAAAATGTTCTTTCTAATATCTCTGTGGCTCATTTGGGCACTCAGTTTCCACTTTTGTGTGTATGTGTGTGTATGTGTGTGTGTGTGTGTGTGTGTGTGTGTGTGTGTGTGTGTGTGTGTGTGTGTGTGTGTGTGTGTGTTTGAAGGGAGGTTCTTCAGTCCCCAGGGACCGGGGCCGAGGTGTGGGGCTAGAGGCAAAGGGGTAATAGGAAAAGGGGAGAAAAGAGGAATGAATGGAAAAGAATGAGGAAAGGGAGATAGGTAGGTGGGGGGAAAGGAGGTAAGTTGATGGGAAAGGGGGTGTAAGTAAGGGAAGAGAAGGGAAGGATTTATCAGTTGAAAGCGCCAAGCCATTACGACAATGTAGCCCTTGGAAGGGGGTCAGGATAAGGATTTGGTGGGGGGGGGGGGGAGGAGGTATAAGGGAGGAGGGAAGGAGAGGTTAGTGGATGAGGGGAAGGAGTAATGTCGGTAGCGAAACGATGCTGCTGGGGGGGGGGGATGTTGAGAGAGAGAAAGGTATTCGTGATATGAAAATGGAAGAATTTGGATGGGGGAGGGAGGGAAAGGGTGGAATTTAACTGGGGAAGGGGAGGAACATGTGCCCGGGAGGGGGAGGTAAGTGGGTAGGGGGGGGAGAGAGAGATTATCTGAGGGGAAGTAGATGATGGGAGAGTGGGTGAACGAGGGAGGAGCCCCTCTGGTAAACTCCCCAGTGTTTACATTCACCAGCGCCTCGCTCCCCCAATTGTTAACTCCGGCTCGTGTAGTGTAGATTTCTTTATTTTAATTGTTAACTCCGGCTCGCGCAGCGTAGAAGTTTCTCCTTTCATGAAAAACCTACTGACAAAATACTAAATTTGCAAGAGAAAATGATCTTGCAATTGTAATTTTTTTAAAACTCACTCCGAAAGTAGTAGTCATATTTACATTGCATTAAAAACAATCTTTTCCGACAAGATTGTGAGGCAACAATTCCCCCTGGGCGTGGAGCCGGCCTCCCCGCCGCTTGCGCGCTCCACGGGTTAAGCTCGCAGCGATTCCCACGTCAAAATTCATTCCGTTTCAATTTTTACTTTCTATTGTAGAGCTTTTTTTGAGTATCATTTGTTTTTTTGTGTTGGAGAAAAATCCTTTCCGTTCGTAAAGATTTTGTTGTGTTTACAACTGTGTTGCTCATTTTCTTGATGCAACTATGGTTGTTGTTGATGCAAGTATGGTTGTTGTTGATGCAAGTATGGTTGTTGTTGATGCAAGTATGGTTGTTGTTGATGCAAGTATGGTTGTTGTTGATGCAAGTATGGTTGTTGTTGATGCAAGTATGGTTGTTGTTGATGCAAGTAT